ATAAATCCAGAAGACCCAGGAGAAAAGAAAAAAATGATGCAAGTGAATTTACCACTTTAAGAGCATTGTCATTTAAGAATACACAGTCAGTCAGTCAGCCATTGATACTGAAAATCACTAACTGAGAGAGACAACAGCAGTTGTGCAAGCAACAACAAGGCAAGCTTCACATTGCAAGTGCTTTATTCAGAAACTATAAGAAGCAGTAAATGGGGTAAATCACTGGGGTAAATGCATGAGCTAGGAAGACAGAACAGTCAGTGACACTTAGACATTACAGAAGTTTCAGTGAAGAAGGCTCTGCAAAGAGTAATTAACTCCAGGAGCAAAAGTTAGAAATCCTTAAGGGAAAGGAGAACTTAATGAAAGGTGACACAAAGACCAGGAAGGGAAGGCAGGGAGTGTAAAAGAGAGTTCTCATTTTTCACAATGAATGTAGCTGCCATCAACATTTGTCAAAACAGCTGCATGGAAGAGTGAAAGAGTAAGAATAAGATTGAACAGTTCATTTTGAAGAAATAGAGAAAGATTTAATATTTCCTAGCAGATTCAAAATTGGAGATATACTAGATAGCACACAAGATTGGACTTCAAGGAGGCCACAGTTCTTAACATACAGCATTGTCTCAAAATAAAACACTAAGCATAAATGTAGCATGCAGCTACAGAGGCGCAGATAAGAAGGAGGTTACACACAGAAAGACCTTAATATGGTAGGGCAATCTCTTTTAGGAAAGATAATCAAGGCACTTATAGAGCAAATTGGTGATTCCCAACAATCCAGGAATCACAGAACTTGTCTTTGTCAGTGGACGTCCTATTAAATTTAAGCTTGATATCAATGCAAAAGCCATTAGCCTATCAGACCATTTCCCACGGCTGAATAAACAGAAGCTGCAGTCTACAGAGATGAGACTATGTGGTGCATGTGGAATAACTGTCAACAGTAGAGAAATAATATAAGTCCCACCATTACACAGGCAATATAAGACAACCAAAAATGGTTAAGTAATGTGTAATCTACACTCCTCATGTAGATGGGTGGTTTAGTAAGTTTGCAGACGACACAAAGATCGGTAGACTTCTGGATAGTGCAGCAGGTTGTCAAAGGATACAGCAGGATAAAAATCAGTTGCAGATATGGGTGAAGAAATGGCAGACAGGGTTTAGTCCAGGTGAGTGTGAGATGCTACACTTTGGGAGATCAAATTTTAAGGAAAAGTATACAGTTATTGGCAGGACCCCAAACAGCATTGATGTAAAGTATGATCTTGAGGTTCAAGTCCATAACTCCCTAAAAGTGCCATTCAAGTAGATAGGGTGGTAAAGAAGTCTTATGGCATACTTTCCTTTATTAGTCAGGGATTTGAGTACAAGAGTCAGGATGTCATGTTATGGCTTTATAAGACTTTGGTTAGGACACACTTAGAGTATTGCATTCAGTTCTGGTCACCACAATACAGGAAGCATGTGGAGGCTTTGGAGAGAGTGCAGAAGAAGTTTACCAGGCCTGGATTAGAGGGTACGAGCTATAAGGCTAGAAAAAAATCAGGTTGTTTTCTCTGGAGTGGCGGAGACTGAGGGGAGACTTTATAGAAGTCTATAAAATTATGAGATGCATAGATAGAGTTGACGGTCAGAAATTTTCCCAGAGATGAAATGCCTAATAGCAGGGAGCATGCGTTGGGGGGGGGGGGGGGGGGGGGGGGGGGGGGGAAGGAAGCTCAAAGGAGATGTGAAGGGCACATTTTTAATGCAGAGAATGGGAGGAGTCTGGAACACACTGCCAGGGGTGGTCGTGGAGGCAGATACGATAGGAGTGTTTAGAGAACTTTTAGATGAGCACATAAGTATGCAGGGAATGAAGGGATATGGACCAAGGGCAGGCAGAAGGGATTATTTTAATTTGGCGTCATGTTTGGTACAACATCATGGACTGAAGGGCCCATTCCTGTGCTGTACAGTTCTATATTCTGTGTTCCCTACCTCTGAGCCAAGAGACCTGGGTTCAAATCCCACCTGCTCTAGACATGTTCATAACATGTATGAACAGGTTTATCAAAAAAAATTCAACACCTCTTTTTTGAAAAAGCATGCATGTTTGGTCCTCAGCTTCCTTAAGATGTCAGAAGGAGTCCCACAATTCCAAGAGAAAAATTGGTCCAGAAACCATAATTTGCTAGAACATAAACAAATCACCATCAACTAATCAAAGGGAAATGAGTAGAAGTTTTCATTGGATTTCCTAGACTCATGGTGGAACACAAAAAGAAGAAAGGAATCAATTGAGATTACCTGCAATAACATAAAAGAAATGTTTCAAATGGCCAAGTAGAAACAGTGGCTAGCAGGTCAAGAAAGGCTTAATCAAACTGAATAAGAACAAAGAGTGACAAAGACTGCCCTGCCACTACCAGTATTGTGTTGAAGGAAGGCAAGAACAGAATGACAAGATGCAACCCTATATCTGTGACTCTATATGCTGATAGATCAAAAGATAAAAGTCATCAACATTTTCCAGAAGAAACAAGTACCGGTAACAAGAATGTACATAGATCATAGAACATAGAACATAGAACATTACAGTACAGGCCCTTCGGCCCTCAATGTTGCGCCGACCTGTGAAACCCATCTGAAGCCCATCTAACCTAAACTATTCCATTATCATCCATATGTTTATGCAATGACCATTTAAATGCCCTTAAAGTTGGCGAGTCTACTACCTTTGCAGGCAGGGCATTCCACGCCCTTACTACTCTCTGAGTAAAGAACCTACCTCTGACATCTGTCCTATACCTATCACTCCTCAATTTAAAGCTATGTCCCCTCGTGCTAGCCACCACCATCCGAGGAAAAAGACTCCCACTGTCCACCCTATCTAATCCTCTGATCATCTTGAATGTCTCTATTAAGTCACATCTTAACCTTCTTCTGTCTAACGAAAACAGCCTCAAGTCCCTCAGCCTTTCCTCATAAAGACTTTCGCTCCATACCAGGCAACATTCTGGTAAATCTCCTCTGCACCCTTTCCAATGCTTCCACATCCTTGCTATAATGCGGTGACCAGAACTGTACGCAATACTCCAAGTGCAGCCGCACCAGAGTTTTGTACAGCTGCAACATGACTTTATGGCTCCGAAACTCAATCCCTCTACCAATAAAACCTAACACACCGTACGCCTTCTTAACAACCCTATCAACCTGGGTGGCAACTTTCAGGGATACAACCTGGGTGGCAACTTTCAGGGATGAGCTCAGAACCAAGTCTTTAAATGAAGGTACCTAGACAGCACAAAAGCTTGCTGAACAAATGAACCTAGCAGAACAGTCAATGCCGGTGACAAGGTTGAGTGAGCAGCAATCTATCAGTAACATGATTGAGAATCTGAGAAGCCTAATTTTACCCATAAAACATCCACAGACAGTGTCTGAAATTATCCATTTGATCAACTTGTTGGGGGAGATAAGCTGCATACAGTTCCATGTGACCTAGGCCAATGTCTACAGATTCAGCACATGGTCAGAAAGAAGAAATTGCCTGGTCTAACCATCCAAGATACTGAAAAATATGGACTGCCTCTTCTATTTAGAAATAAATTGCCTGATCCAGAAATCCAGAGTCCTACAAGGAAGACAGTACTGTCTTCCATAAATGACATTTATGAGATTAAAGACCCCAGAGGATGCTATGGGGTACCTACCTGAGCCAGCTCTGTTAAGCAAATTCAGGGGATTAAGGGTCCTCCAGAAAAGGTAATGGACCAACAATGAGGTCTGCAAAGAACCATGTCCTCTGTGAAGACTATCCATGAGATAAAAGATTGTACAGGGAGAACTGTTCCACAGATCAGTACAAGAGTCAACAGTTCTTAAGCAGGAGATCTATCATTCTTCCAGGTCTGAAGAGACGGCATTCTGAGAAAGGTCTTAGATATCCAGAAAAAGTGCTTTGTAAATTTAGGGACTCAGTGGAGTTGGTGGGGGGTGGCGGAGTTGGAGGCTAGATGATAGGATTGTAACAAAAATGTATTAGCTATATCCATGATTGCATAATGACTTGACTATGGAGAAAAATCTTTGACACAGATGTTGTAGAAGACAATGATGTTGAGGGGGCTAATATTTATTTTATACTGGATCCACACACTTTACTAATATCTCACAAAATCTGATGGGCTAGTACGCTCTATGGTGGGACTTACATCTGAGAAAGGGTGGAAGTCTTGCTTTAAAACAATTAACCTTATTTCATCAGTAAGTTGTGGGCAGCCATCAGAATTGTGGGCAGGATTCCCATGACCTATTAGTTGGAATAGTGGCATGATGAAACCCCATAAACTCAGTCTATCTGTGACTCTACATGCTGCTTTGATGAAGTTCCCTGCTAATAATACATACTCAGTAAAATAACCAAGTTTTGGGGTCTCAGTTTGAATTGTTCCAGTTGGAAGGGTTGAAATTATCAAAACCGAACAGGAATGTTCCTCTAGCCTAGTTCTTCAAAAATGTACCGTATTCTGTGGATTTTAATGCTAAAGATTTCCATTTTCGATTTGGAAGTAAACATTTTAAAAACCTGAATCGATTCTGAAGAAGAAGCAGGAACCAAAGGTAACCTTTTGTTTTTTACTCACTCACTTATTTATAGGAGGAGCAGAACATCAGTGAGTCACAGTCCACACAAGGGTAACTCACCTGATACTACCCAACTTTATGTGACAGGCAGAAAATGTTTTTATCTTGTTGAAGATCAATGTTTTTGATAGTTCAACCTTACCAACATAGTGATATGGCAGTTTGTGGGAGGATGACATTACATTTCAATTATCAACAACAATGCCTCCCTGTATGTAAAACTATCAATGTGTTTAACTTCTGTGTACTAAGTGATACATTGAATCAATGCTGGAGTAACACATGACAGGTGCCCCGTTTGCTCCAGCCAACATTTACATCTTGGTATGAGGTCAGGCGATCCAACTGCCCTAAGCACTCTTGCAATGCCTGGAAGATTAAGGTGCAAAGCCATGTTTACAGGCAATAAATGAAGCTTTTAAAACCAGAGACAGCACACTGCCCTACTGAAGATTGAGGGTGCTTATTGCCGCAAAGAAACAGAATCTCACCTGGGCAAGAGCTGTGCTTACTCTACAATGCAAAGAACCAACACTGCGACTCCTGGTGGTAAACCAAACAAGACTTGTGTCAGTTGTGGTAAAGTGACCTATGCCCATGGAAAGAGTGGCATGGTTCGTGCAAAATTCATCAGCTACCCACCTGATAAAGCTATTGGACACAGGATTGATGTGATGCTGCACCCATCAAGGATCAAAAGCCTCTGAACAGAATTCCTGGCTCTATAAGTAAGGAAACCTGAGGAAAGGAGATTTCTGTACACCTTTTCCAGTTTAAACTGCTCCTGCTCACTGGTGCTTAATGTATCATTCATAGATGTATACATAAATTAACAATAAATAGTAAAATGATTTAAAAAGAAACACTTACACTAAGCTTTCTATGAAAACCGGAGATGGTCTGTGGAGAATTTTTGGATTCTGCTGGGATTTTACAGAATGCATGATTTACTGATTGGGCCCCATTGGAATTCTAATGAATCCAGTGAAGTCACGGCAGAGTGAAGAAGAATTCAGTGCAGGTGATTTAGGAGTTGCAAATCTCATCTTGTTAATCCCTGTTTAGAAGCTTCCATGTTATATACATTGTGGCCCATATGGGAGTAGACCCCTGTGACTTTGCTGAAGTCTTGCATTCTCTCTGTCCAGCCAAACATCAGCCTAAGCATTAAGGAGTGCTGCAGAGTTTGGCAAAACGGTGTCTATTGGCCACACATGCAGCAGATAGACTGCTATATTCCATCTGCAATGTGCCAGAAGCTGCAAAGTACATTGTACAACTTCAATATTGTGTTTTGCTCAGCAAGCATTTTTCTGTTGGGCCTCGGATCAGAAGTCCTGGCCTTTGTGGGTAAGGAAATCTGAGGAAAAGGGATTTTTGTTACACATTTTCCAGTTTTCATTGGTCCTGCTCACTGGTCCCTAACACCCTATGAAGTACCCTCAAACTGATATTTAATATCCCCACAAGTGATGCTTCTGTGTTGTGAGGGTATGATGCAGTAATGCATTGTCAGGTAAAGGGATTCTGTGAACTGCTCCGATGAAGGAGTCAGAAATTCTTCATGTGTTCTACCTGAGAATACATAAAGAGGCAATGGTCAAAAGAGGAGCTCACATGGCTGTCCAGAACAGGCAGCTGATAGACTATAGCAAGTGGTTCTTAGATTGTGTGGAATTATATCTACTCAGGACATGAGCTACTATCATCTGTTTTATACAGGGATATGTTCTCTAGTTTTACTATCTCAAACCTCCTAAGAACATAAATATTCCGTGCCCATTTCGTTGAACTAGTAAAATCAAGTATTTCCAAAGAGTCTCCTCCAGTTATAATTCTCTGCCTCTGATAATGTTCATCCTTCTCCTAATCTTGCTGCGGTTGCAATATTGTGCAAGTTAACTAATGCTGCCATACAATGTCGACTTCTACAGGACAGTGAAAGACCTCTAAAGAACATTATTTGTTTGCAATGAAGGAGAAATGTGTGGTGAAAGTATGGATATGGTGCACAGTTTAGATGATCTAAGTTAGAAAAGGGGCAGGAACCTAGTGAGGACAAGGTTCTCTAACATGGCTCAGCAGGTGAGATTTTCAAGGTGGTGAGATATCTGGGCACTCAATGCAAATGCTGTGCACTGTGCTACTCATGTTAAAGCTTGTGTCAGGCACTGCCATATATTTGCAGTTGCTCTCTGCAACAACTGGGGTTCTTATCAATCAAGATTCTGTACCATCAATGTCCAGCTGGTCTGCAAATACCATAACATGCAAATCTGTGCAAGATTCTCGTAGAGACAGCCTGATGATTTTACTTTCCACTAGTCATGTCTTCCAGAGATATTCACACCTCAAACCTGAATTGTTTTTGGGGACAAATGAGGTGGAAACAAGGGATGCCCTCTTAAGATGTGGCTCATGATACTGTATGGAGAGCTAACAGTAATTCTCAGAAACCAGAATGGTCAGAGTCTTCTGGAACCTATACATATTACATTGTACAGCAGTGGGGGCTGGAATTCTAGAAGGAAGTGCTGAATGCTCTGCCTCCTTGGAGGAAGACATTTAACAGGTGGAATGCAACTACAGTCATTGCTGCCAGGGAAAGCCAGGATAGTCTGGTTGAGTCAAACCACTTAAATTGGTACAGTGCAGCCCTTGACACACAAATTCCAAATTTTCTGAGCATTCCCAGCCCACAGCAAAGAGGTCTCACTGCTAACAATTCATCTATTTCACAGACACTCGATGCCTGTCTCTAGGTCTCATCCCTAGACTTTCAGAGTCAGGTTGCTCATTTTTCTGATGTGACTGCTTTTGACCATTGTCTTGTGGTGTTGAAGCCAGGAGGGCCCTGCCAAAGTTTGCCCACCTGTACTTCTGTAAGGGCAGAATCAGCCGTCAAGACAAGTCACAAAGTAAATATTTTGACTGGGTAGGAGGGAGTGTGGAAAACATGGCATCAGAAGTGTATTTGAGCAGATTCAAATTTCAGTGCACCCTTTCTCTATCTGGCCCCACATGACCTACATAATACCAACTTAGATGTGAAAAATGTTTTCTTGCAGCTCAGTGAGGTGCTGAACAGCTATGTTGAAGTTTTCCTCAACTTTGCTCAAGGTGGCATTTTAGTTTTCCAGTGCAAGTCGTCCATGACAGAGTGTTACAAATCAGCATATTCCAAGGTCCAGAATTACATTCTGAGGGACTCATTAAGGCATAGGCAGAGGTGCAATGGGGAAAAGTCATTGCCTGGGACCTTTCAGCCATACAATACACTAAAGGGCTGGAAAATGTAACACCCTTCTGGCAGTGCACTTCACAAATCATATACATTGTAAATCAATGCACAGACTATAAGTGACAGCTAGGGTTCACTTAGAGTAAAGACCTGAGACTTCATGCAAGAGATAGTTTCCTTTAATTTCTCTAATTGAGTATGTTGCAGCTGGAAATAGATACAGAATTGTTCTCTCTGTTGACAGCCACCAAAGCTTAACATTTGCATGCAGCAAAGCAGAGCTTGAAAGGTCATATGCTCTACAAGGACTCTCCACTGCTGTATCTGTCCCAATGCCCGCTTCTGTTTACATATGATGTATGCTCCATCATAGGACAACATATCTACTGTCTGGCACTTCCACCGGCAGTTGGAGGATTTGCACTCTGACTGTTTTCCTTTATGAAGTTTTTTTAATATCCTTCTCTAGCACCACCTTCTGAGGAATGCTTGAAAAACATAAACAAGTTGAAAGCTGTGGATAAGAACTAAACCTAAATCATTGTTGTGCATACTATCAGTTTTCATCACCTGGTGACATCAAGTTAACAGACATCAGTGATATATTCCATGTGACTGTTGCTGTTTTATTCTGTCACCATGTAGCTGAGAATCCCGTTTCTTCATCACCAATGGCCATACATGCTAGGACCCAGCTCATCCCAGCATTTTCTCCTCTGCAGTAGTAAAAGTGGAGATGGCTGGAGGACCATTTTTATTTTTCTGCTTTTTCTTGGTGTCCTGATGTCTCTTGGAGAAGGAAGAGGCCCGAGTGTGAAAAATACAATGTTTGAGAGGATGGAAAGACAGCACTTTGGGGGGAATCACTGTGAAGGATGTGCATGCTATTGCATTAAGATAAGGGTGAACATCAGTGCTAACGATTAAGATGGAGAAGTGAGGAGGTACCTCGAGAGAGAAAGAGAGAGAGATGAATGGGTGAAGCTGCCACATCTATGAGGAATGAGGTGCAGATGAAGGTTAGAGAAGAAAGAGTGAGGATGGTTAGAGTTAGAAGGACATTAAGGTAGAGTTCAACAAGTCAGGCCATTCATCATTTTCCTGCCCTGACTAGATCATTTCTTTTCATTCATTAAAGAGATGTGGACATTGTTGATAAGTAATTGAGAATGATTGACTATTTATTGTCAATTGCTAATTGCTCTTGAGAAGTTAAATCTCTTCCATCACCATATCAAAGAGTTTGGAACAACACTTCTACTGTTCACCCCTTCAGCCACTTTCAAGCTGCTGGTTTTCAGAGGCAGGCCTCTTCCTCCAATTCACAAGGAACAGAATCTGAAAGCCCAAAGCATCATGTCAGAAACTGTATTGCTGAAACATGGTGCTGCTGCGACAGTTCGTGTCTCTATTCCTGTAGCTTTGGGCTCTGTCCGAAGATTTTCACTATGCTTCAACTCTAATTTTTACATGGTTCCATAAAGTGCTCAGCTGGAATGGACTACAGATCATCATCAGACCCACATGCTTTGATTGCTGGGAAAACTTGGAAGTCTGGCACAAATGTAATGACTGGATTGAAAAGATAATGACAAACACACTGCTCAAACACCGTTTCTCTGATACACTGCCCCACTGTGATCCTACTCTTACACACTGATCCCACTGTGAGCAGGTCAGAACATTAAAATTCAGCTCATAATTTCACTATTCATATCTATAGACAGTAAGCATATTTATTTTGACCCGTTTGTGTTTGTTGGTAAAATATTACAACAATCAGCAGAATGTGTTCTTTGATCATTATGTTTCCCTTACATCCTTACTTTCCAAGTTCATGAGGGAAATGTGACATATTTTGTCAAGGTTCATCTGGAGCAGCTTTGCAATGGAGGAATCTGTGCTCTACAGGACATTCCCAGAGACAAATATGCCTGGAAATATCCTGAAGAGCACAGATTTCTCCATCGCAAAGCGTCAATGAAAGAAGTTCTTTGCTCTGTCTGAAATTTGCTGGTTTTCCAATGCAAGGAGTTGTCCTTGACAGCTTGTGGCAGATCAGCACATTCCACAGTGCAGAATTACATTCTGAGGAACATATTAAAGCATGGACAGAGGCATTATAGGGAAAGGTAATTGCCTGGTGCTTTTCAGCCATTCAATATACTGAGGGGCTGGAAAATGTAATACTCCTCTGATAGCATGCTTTACGTATCATGTACAATGTAAATCAAGGGTATTGAAAATGTAATGAAGCACCTCCAGGTGAAACACGTTGCATAGAGAAATTTGTACACATTGCACTTTCTGCAATTTTCAATTTGAAGTGCTTTTGCTTTCGGGCTGTATACCTGATTTGTATACCTGCAAAAAAAAGGGTGTTACAATCATATTGCATAGAGTGTATTTTATGGATGCAAGTTGAATGTTCCTGAAAACTTTTTTAATTCATTCATGGGATGAGGG